TAATGATCATACCAGTGGCTCAGAGAAGTTAAACAATGTGCCCAAGGTGGCACAGCAGTTAGAAGTAAAGATAGGATTTGAACTGGGTTCTGGCTCCATGACTCCTGCCTTCAGCTACTCTTAAAGAGAAAATGAGCAGCAAAAGTCAGAGAATCAAAAGATTAGCAAACCTGCAGACTATACTGTCAGTCTCAGACTGGCTGTAAATTGGCCATACTAAACCATGCCATTCAAGTCTCAGAGACCTTGTCCTACATCAACTCTAGCATTCACTGGGCCTTTGGGATCTGGAGCAAGACCCCTACTTGAGCCTCAACTTACTCATTTATGAAACAGGCATCTTGATAGATCGCTATTTTCCACACATGCTTAGTTGTCAAAATCACCCGGTCTCCTTCTTAAGAGTATGTATGTTTAAACCCTACTTCTGAACTGCTAAAATGGAATCTCCAAGGGAAGGATCTGGACATCTGTATTTTTTAAAAAGTAACTCATGATTCTCAGGACCAGAAAAGTTAGCAAAACATCCTAGGCCCAGATGATCTTAGAGACTCTCCTAGCTCTGTCCATCTTGATCCCACTGCTACTCAACCAGGTTCCTGACCCATCTCCCTACAGACACCTCCATCAACACCACAGACCCTGTCCCTTTGCCACACAGTCTGACCCCCTAAGACCTCTCCATTCCACATGGATTTGATCTCTCCTTCCTTCCTGTAAGGCACTCAGCTTCGCAAGGGAGCTGAAGCTGTATAAATAATAAATGGAATTTACAGTAGCATTTGGAATTCACTTAAGCCCTAAAAACGTAGTTGCAGTAAAGTCTCCTTAAGGCTCATCTTTTCAATGGATAAGAAGAAAAAAAAAAGTAGCTTCTCCATTGACTTTCTTAATATGCAAATCAGGATATTTTAACAAGACTTGATTCTAAATGTCCACAGGGCCCACGTGGAAGGCATAATCTCCACTGCCAGAATAGCAGTGCCCCTGCTGCTCCAGTGTGAAATACCCAGGAGCCCTAGGTCAGACTACCTTTCAGGCCATGGACAGGGTTAATAGCCCCATGACCTGGACGGAGGCCTTGAGGAAGAAGCCCCAAGACACAACGCCAATACCAGCCTCATCATACCAGCTTCTCTATAAATCCTTTCCATCCTTGCTCTTTCTGTTTTCAGACTCATCACATGGTACAACTGAGCAATATTGGCTGCTCCCATTCCCTTCTTTCTGCTACAGTCCCTCTCTCATTCCCCACAAACGAGTGACCCCACTGACTTGAAACATACCTGAAATTCTTACTGTTGGCCAAATCTGCGTTAAGGGAATATTTTCTGGAAGAGTGAGTACCCTGGGCTGGGTTTTGTTAAGACTGGTATCAGTCAGCTATTACCACAATAATGCCATGTAAGAAACCACCCCACTACTCAGCGGTTTACAACAATAATTTATGCTCACTCGTGCATGTGTGGGTTGGTCGGCTCAGCTGAGTTTGGTCCCAGCCTTGGGTTTGGTTCAGGTCTGCTCTGGGTATCCCTCCATTCTTCCTGGACCGCTGGGCTAGCCAGGGTGTGTTTCTCTTATGTCGGTGGAAGAAGCTCACAAAGACAAGTCCATAGTCCAAGCTTATTTCAGGCCACTGATGGTGCCACATCTGCTCACATCCCATTGACCAGATCAAAAGGCAAGGACACTCACTCCGCCTGACATGAGGCCAAAACAAGTCACAGAACACACATGAGGGGCAGAAAGTTTAAGATGAAAAAAAGGAGCCAAGCACCTTGGAGCTACTCTTTCAGGTAGGATGTCACAGAGAGGGATCCTGGAGCCAGGCTTCATGTGGAAATCACTCAAGCAATAGAAGCATAGCTGCAATAATATCTCCTTGGGGAGGAGGGTTATAGGGAAGGAGAAAGTGTAAATCAGAAAAAAAAAAAAAACCATAAGTATCTCCAACTACACAGCACACCACGGCCTGAACCCCAACTTTCTCAATGCTCCCTCTCCCCATCTCCAAGTGAGAAAAACCACATGAGAGGATTCTGATCTCTTCTTTGCCACAGCTGGTTGTTTGCTTTAAAAAAAAAAATCACAGCTTTAAAAAAGATCAGACTTGGGAAGGGATTCTGGATGACCCTCTTATCCTGCCTCCTCAGCTTTCAGAGAGGAAAAGGGGCTTGGGGAAGGTCATTAGACAAGTAAGCAGCAGAACAAGGAATACAACCCGTGCTTATGCAGTTTTCCCACTAGAGACATCTCCAAACAGCCAGGTAATTAAGATTTCATTTATTCAACAAGTACTTATTAAGCATTTACTCCATGCCAAGCACTGTTGTAGATGTTGGGGATAAAGAAGTGAACAAACACCCCTCATGAAGTTTCCGTTCTATTGAGGAAAGGGCTAGATGATAAATAAGTAAACAAGTGAATTAATCATATGGCAGTAAGTGCCATGAGAAAAATAAGCAGGGCAGGGCAAGTTGGGGTTGCAGGGAAAGGAGGTTGGGGTCATGTGCTGGTGGTCAAGGAAGGTCTCACAAAGAAGATGACATTTGATCAGTGCTATGGTCTGAATAATTGTGTGCCCTCCCCCACTTCCCCACCACCATCAAACTCATATGTTGAAATTATGGGCACCTGGGTGGCTTAGTCGGTTAAGCATCTGACTTTAGCTCAGGTCATGATCTCAGGGCTCATGAGTTTGAGCCCCACATCTGGCTCTGTGCTGATAGCTCGGAGCCTGGAGCCTGCTTTGGATTCTGTGTCTCCCTCTCTCTCTGCTCTCTCTCTCTCTCACTCTCAAAAATAAACGTTAAAAAAATTCATATGTTGAAATCCTAATCCTCAAAATAATGATACTAAGAGTGTAGAGGCCCCACAGAGCTCCCTCGCCCTTCTGTCCAGTAAGGAAGACAAGTCTACGACCTGAACAAGGGCCTTCACCCAACCATGTAGGCACCCTGATCTCGGACTTCCAGCCTCCAGAACTTGACAAGTAAATTTCTGTCGTTCATAAGCCACCCAGTCTGCAATATTCTGGTACAGCAACCTGAACAGACTAACACAATCAGGGAAGTGAAAAAAGTAATTAGAGAGCCATGAGAAAAATATCTGGGCCTTTCCAGCAGAAGAAACTGCAAGTGCAAAGGCCCTGAGTCAGGGACAGGTTTGGCACAGAGAAGGCTGAAAAGGGCAGCAAGACAATGTGGGGGTAGGGCCTAGAAGGCTGTGATGATTAATTTTGCGTGTCAATTTGACTGTATTGACACTAGTTCTGAGTGTGTCTGTGAAGGTGTTTCAGGAAGTGATTAACATTTGATTCAGCAGACTAAGTGAAAAAGACCTGCCATCACCAGTGTGGATGGGCATCATCCAATCCATGGAGGGCTCAAACAGAACAAAATGATGAAGTAAGGGCAAATTTCCTCTCTCTCTTCTCGAGCTGAAATGACCATCTTCTCCTGTTCTCAGACAGTGAAGCTCCTGGGATGTTGGATGGAGCTCCTGGTTCTCAGGCTTTTGGGATTTACACCAGTGGCCTCCTAGGCCTCAGGCCTTCAGCCTTGGACTAAATCATACTACAGGCTTTCCTGGTTCTCTAGCTTACATATGGCAGACTGTGGACTTCTCAGCCTCCATAACCACATGAGCCAATTCCTATAATAAATCTCCTCTTTATACCCATCATCTGTATCTATCTAGATCCTACTGATTCTGCTTCTCTGGTGGGCCCTGACAGGGATCATGGAAAGACTTAGGGTTTTGCTTCAAATGAGACGGCAAGCACCAGAAAGCTTTGAACCAAGGAAACACATGATTGGACTTTGGTTTAAAAGATCCCTTTGGCTGTGTTGAGAACAAACTGCAGAGGCAAAAGATTGAGGTTGAGGGTCACATTGGGAGGCAATCACGGTAATCCAAAGGAGTGGGGACTGGGACCAGGGGTTGTTATTCTGGGTGGTAAGGAAGAAGCAGATTTGGGGCAGTTGTGGTGGTAAAGCTGAGGATTCCCTGATGGGTTGTGAATGTGGTGTTAGAGATCATGGTCAGAAAAGAACCCAAGATTTCGTCTTGAGCAACTGAAAGGATGTCACCATTTTCTAAGTTGGGGAAAGCGGTAGAAGGAGCAGATTTGGGTGGGCAAATCAGGCATGCTTAAGAGGCCGTTGTTTCCTTTGCTTTCTGATTTCCTGTGTTTGTCCTTACATAACTCATCTACCTAAGCCCAGGGCAGGTTAAAGCATTTCTGTAACTAAACATCAGCTTTCCTCTGATAGATGTAGTAATTTCCAGTAAATTCTTGGTCCTAGGTCAGAATCCCCAGGAAGCAGACTCTGACATGAAGTTAGCATGCAGGAGGTTTATTAGAGTGCTCTTGAGATCAACACCCATGGGATGAAGGGAAGGAGGCAGAGTGGGCCCAGGGAGACACAGAGCTATGATGTAGTATCAGTGGAAGTGTGGGGAATTCTGAAAATGAGATGATCCTTCAGAACCACCTGAGTTGGGGCAAGAAGGCCGGGCAACAGGGTCACTGGCTTCCTGTGGGAAGATGCGGCATGAAGCAAAGTCACTCTCTTTATCTGAGGCAACCCCTAAAGGGCTGACAGCTGACATCTGTATTCCAGAGACATGGCCAACAGCTGGGGAAACTACAGCTAGGCCAACAGCTAGGTTCTTTATTCCAGAAGGGGAATCTGGGGGGTGCAGCACAATGTACACCACATTCCCTCATGCCAGACACCAGGAAGGCTAGTGCTTCAAGTCCAGTTCTGCCCCATACTCATTATTCACGGCTGGCCAGCAAATGGAAACCCTGTCCAACTTCATGGGTTTTCCAGCCAGACGTGAGGCAGGAAAACATCCCAACAATGGAAAACAAACACAGAAGGAATTCCTGGTGGAAGGACACCGCTGTGGATAGACCCGAGTCTATCAGTGCAGCTGTCAGCCAGACCCAGAGGGCAGACCCAACTTTGGTTAAGTGTAGTTGCGCAACTCACCTTCACCTTTGGAGTCTTGATGTAAAACATCAGTCTTCAACATATAAAAAGCTTAGGAGGTCAGGTAACAATTGTGAACTACGCAGAAGCTCTACATTCTCCTTCTTACCCTAGACTCCTAGGAAAAAAAAAGTGAAGAAATAATAATAATGATAACAATAACAATAATAGCTGACGACAACAATATAAATAAGTTAATAATAAATAATATATATAAGAAGAAGAAAGAATAATAAAAATCCCAAACAGTGTTGGAACAAAAGAAGAGGTGCCCCCTGTGGACCAAAGATTATTAAAAATCCCTGAAAAAAGTAAGGCAGACAGGGAAAACTGAAGAAGAAAACCACATCCCAGTTGCACAAAGGAAAGAATTTTTGCAAACAAGTTGGGAAAGCAGCTTTGTGGCACCGAAGTCAGCAGGAGGACCCAAGGATGACTGATAGGGTAAATGGTCTTGAAAAAAAAATCAACACCATGAAAGAAAAGTACCAAATTTAACAATCTGAGGAGCTAAATTTAACAAAAAGAACTAAATAACAACCTGGAGAACTAAAACCCATGGAAAGAATCAATAAAACAAATAGAAAAAGCCTTTAGAAAAGTTTAATCAGTATTTTCATGTGAGCAGCTATTTGTAAACATATAAGATAATCAATGAGAGGTCTTGGATATGACACATTTTAGGATTGAAATAAAAACCTCAATATATGGGTGGAGTATCAGGATAGACACACCTAAAGAGCAGATTACTAAACTTCAAGATTGAACAAAGGACTTGACCCAGAGCAAAGCATAGAAAGCAACAGAGATAAAGAGGAAAAAATTAAGGGAAATGGAGAATGAATCAAAACAGTGACAAAATCCATGTAATAGGAGACTAGAAAGAGGGTATAGTGAGAATGGAAAAGAAATGCTCAAGTAAGATGTGGGAAAAAAAAACTCCTGAAAAAAACATGAAAGTCTCCATATTTAAAAGTCCATCAAGTGCTAAGCTAGTTAAATTTAAAAAGATCTACATTTAGGTATCATGTGGAAATTTTTACACAGAAGAGAAAATTCCTCCATACAGACAGAACTGATTCCTTGCAAAGAAATGAGAATCAAGCATCATCAAAATTCATCCTGCCATAGATGGCAATAGACAATAGAACAATAATAATCTCAGATATCTGAAGCAATTTATTTTTAAGCTAGAATTTGATGCCCTGTAAAACTACCTTTGAAGTAAAAGGGGAAAATAAAGATATTGGCAAACATTCCAGAAAGAATTCTTAGACAGGATAAAACAGTATAAAATGAAAAAATGAATCAAAGAGAAAAACACGGGCTATAAGAATTAATGTTAAGGAAAACAAAACAAAACAACAAACAAAAGAAAACAACTAAAGAAATTAAGATTTTACTAATTGAAATACATGATTATATTAAAACAAAATAATGAATATTTTGTAACTAAAATACCGAATTATATCAACATGGTAAGTATAAGAAAGGAGAAAGAAAGAGTAGTAAGAGAAATCAAGTAACGAAAAAAGTAAAAGGTTTTAGTATTTTTCACTGGGAGGATCTAGATAGTGATTGATTTCCAGATATCAGTGTGTCTCTTTAAAGAAGCACTGATGTATTACAATAATTTATTGGAAGTATACAAATAGAATAAATAACTTCAAACCACTAGAGAAGATAATGAAAACAAAAAGTCACTCAAAAAAGTCACCCTCCAACCAAAAAGAAAGAAAGAAAGAAAGAAAGAAAGAAAGAAAGAAAGAGAGAAAGAAAGCAGGAGAGATAAAGGGGGGTAAAGCAAGAGTTCATGATTTAAAAAAGGGAAAATAATTGCAGGAGTAAATCCAACTATATCAATAATATCAATAAGTATGACTGGTTTAAATCCCTATTTAATGAAAGAAACTCTTTTTTAAAAATTTAATGTTTTTATTTGAGAGAGAGAGAGAGCATAAGCATATGAGCAGGGGAGAGGGGCAGAGGGAGGGAGAGAGAGGAAAAGAGAGAGAGAGAGAGAGAGAGAGAGAATCATAAGCAGGCTCCTTGCTTAGCATGGAGTCCAATGTGGGGCTTGATCCCATGACCCTGGGGTTATGACCTAATCTGAAATCAAGAGTTGGACACTCAACCGACTGAGCCACACAAGCACCCCAGATGAAAGAAACTCTTAAACTAGGTTTAAAAAATAAAAGCCTGGTATACGCTGCTTGTAAACTATACAAAAGCAAAATGATGGTTGGAAGTTAAAAATAAGAGAATGGAAACAGCTATGCCATGCAAATAGTAATAAAAACAATGTAGGTAGAGTAGTAATAATATCAAACAAAATAAAAATCAAGGCAAAGAACAATGAAAGGGACTGGGCTAAGAGACATTTTACACAGATAAAATATAAATTCTACAGAAAAGATATATCAGCCATAAACTTTTATGCACTCAGTAACATAGTTTTAAATACATAAAGCAAAAATTAAAAGATGAACAAGGAGAAATGATAATTCACAATCATCGTAAGAGATTTTGTTAGTTAGCTTTCAGCACTCACTTAGATCAAGTAGCTATATAGATCAAGTACAGAGAGGATGTGAATAGCATATATACTATAATTTTAAAACATGATTTAATAGACATAGATGTTAATAAAAGACTGCTCGTTATTTTCTGTCACACGTGGGACATTAAAAATTAACTTCTGTATTAGGTCACAAAGGAAATCTCAACAAATCCCATAACAAAGAATTCAAGCAAGTTACTTTCAGGCCAAAATGCAGTAAAATTTAAAGTTAATAACAAAGAAATAGCCAAAAAATTCCTATGCATCTGAAAATGTTAAATTTCTTTTAAATAATTCTTAGTTAAGTAAAATTAATATTATTGTTTAGAAATTAATGACAAGGAGAGTCCATATATCAAAATTCTGAGGCATATACCTAATGCAGGGAAACTTATAGTCTTAAAGTTCTCAGAAAAAAGAAAAAATGTTAAAAGGAGAGTAACTAAGCTTTTCAAGAAGTTAAAAAAATTAAAACAATGAAATTTAGGGAAATGCTAATAAAGATAAAATGCAGTATTAACAAAGTAGGAAACACAGCAGTAGTGTAGATTAATAAAACTAAAAGTTGAGTCTTTGAAAATACCAATAAACTAGAATAGTCTATGGCAAGGGTATGATGGGAGAGAGGGACAGAAAAATACAATGTTAAGAATGGGAAATGTGGGATGCTTAGGTGGCTCAGCCGGTTAAGTGTCAGACTCTTGAGTTTGGCTCAGGTCCTGACTAATCTCACAGTTCATGAGATCAAGCCCTGCACCGCGCTCTGCGCTGACAGTGTGTAGCCTGCTTGGGATTCTCTCTCCCTCTTTCTCTCTGCCCCTCCCCAGCTCACATGCTCACTCTCTCTCTCTCAAAATAAATAAATGAACTTTAAAGAGAAGAATAAGAAATGAGACAGAAAAGATAACGCATACTTTAAAGTAAAGAGAATTTTATACCAAAGCATTTGAAAATCTAGGGGGATTGGATAGTTTTCTGGAGAACAGTAAATCACAATTGGCTCAAAAAGAAGAAAATCAAGTAAGACTAATAATCATAGGACAAATTGAAATCATAACTAAAGCTCTATCCTGCTAAGATGCACAAAGCAAAAAAGTTTACAGTCTTGAACATCCCACCAAACATTCAGGAAATCCAAAATTCCATGCAATACATACTCCAGGGCATAGAAAATAGAAACCACCCAATTCATTTTATGTGACTAACATAACCCAATTCCAAAACTGGACAAGGAAAACACAGACAAAAGGAAAAAAAACACAAGCCGATATCATTTATGAGCAAAGATACAAAAATCCTAAGTAAGGTATTAGAAAATCAGAACCAGTACTGCATTATGAGCAGAAATACAAGAATGGTTCAACATCTGAACACCATCTATGTTTCTGACTAGATTGAAATCATCTCAGCAGATCATCTCAATTGATACTAAAGTTTAATAGAATTCAGTACCCATTTCTGATTAAAAACAACCACAACAACAACAACTTGACTCGATAATGTTTTCTACTATTGATCCACAGCACACATCATAGTTAATGGTAAATTACCAGAAGTAATCCCATCATAGTCAAGATCAAAGCAAGGATGCCCATGATCATTGCTACTTTTCAATATTGTAGCATGGGCCTGCCCATGGAGAAAAACAAGAGAAGGAAATAAGAAATGTAACACTGAACAGAAAGAGATAAAACTGTTAGTATTTGCAGTCGATATAACCATTTACCTAAAAAATCCACAGAAACCAAAGGGTGATTATAATCAAATACGAATTCATCAAGGTGACAGATATAAAAATCCATGCACAAGATTAATAACTTTCGTATTACACAGCAATGGCTAATTAGAATATGCATTTTATAACCCTATTCACAAAAGGAGAAAACAGAACCTGAAAAATGCTTCTGACAAACTCAGTAAGAAATATCAGCAGGAGAAAAGTAAAAAGCTTTAGGACGAGGGAAAACCTGCCTAAATACAAAGGCTGTAATACTGCAAGGTAGAGCCGAGCTTAAATACCTGTCTTTTCAAATCCCATTTCTCTACACTAGGACCAGACTCAGCAAAAGGCCAAACCAAAAAACCCTGCCTCTTGAGTGCAGGGCTTTGGCAGAGGGTGGACTTCGTTAGCAATTGGGGCAATTAAGGAAATGTCTTTTCAGGAAGCAGAACTGAGGGCCTGCGTCAGGAACAGAAAGGAGCAGAAAGAAGGAAACATGGAAAACAAAACTTGCAGACTTGATCAAGTTTCTTATGTGGGCCCTGACCACAGAAAGACCCAGGAATGGGAGAGGGGAAGGTTTCTGTCCCCCTCCCCACCCACCCCAAAAAGCCACTGTGGCCAAACAGATGGCAGAGCACATTTTTAAACCACTTTTTAACACAGTAACTTATTTTTTTTCCCTGCTTGCTCTTTATGCCTTTAGTCAAAAGTCCTACCAGCTGTCACCATCTCAAAGAAAATGTCAGGGGGCTGTGGTTGCCTGTGCCTTTCCTCGGCACAGTGGGAGAGAAAGGAGGCCAAGGACCTCAGCCAGCTGTGGTCCTGGCTGCAGAAT